AATAAGAAATAAAATCAAAAGCCTCTATCTTGCACGAGAGGATGCACGAATGATAAATGAAAACAGTTTTCTCACGGCGAATGTCGATAAAATTATGAGCTTTGAGGAAAACATGTCATCCGAAAAAACACATTTAAGTAAGTTCACGAAAATGTTATGAAGACACTTCCGAGTACGCTCTCTTTAATTTTTCTTATAAAATGTAAGAGTTTGGAAAAATTTTCGTGAAACTTCAAGGAAAGAATGAGAGGCAAATGTTAAAATTTTTTGTTCATTCTAAGACTGAATTACCTGAGTATACGAGACTTCTTCTTCACGTTGCAAGTTGGTTTGTAATGATGGCTTTGTCATCGTCACCTCGGTTGTTATGACATCCTCGTTTCGACTCTGCGCCACACGACTTCGTATTGGCTTTGCAGTTGTCACCTCACTTGGTTTGACGTCATCGTTCTGACTCTGCGCTGCATGACTCCTTATTGGCTCTGCAGTTGTCTCCTCGGCGGGTTTGACGTCATCGTTCTGACTCTGCGCTGCATGACTCCTTGTTGGCTCTGCAGTTGTCTCCTCGGTTTGTTTGACGTCATCGTTCTGACTCTGCGCCACAGGACTCCTTATTGGCTCTGCAATTATCACCTCAGTTGTTATAACATCATCGTTCTGACTTTGCGCGGGTATGACGTCATCTGTAGTCTCCTTGCTCACTTTACTCTATCACAGAATCAAATTAGCCAAAGTAGGCAAGATATAAAAATACTTCGAACTCCCTTTTCAAACAACAGATTGGAAACTGAAGGAGATAAAATGATACTTGAGATTTGTTTTAAAAGGAGCCAATCCTTAATAAGCTCCCCCAATTTTTTTCATGAATTGAAATTGATATTTAATAGATGTCAAAGAGGTTTGAATGAAAATTTTTCCATTGAAGACTGAATTACCTGCATCTGAAGCGTGTCTTCTCTGGCATTTACGTTGTTGAGAAATATTAGCTTTGTAGTCGTTTCTGTTGGTGGTCTGCTGTCATCGTCGTCAGCGTTCTTCTCCTGGGTCACATCACTCTATAATGAAATCATATTGTACTGAGTGACCCCTTTAGATTGGAAAACTCTTTGTAAAGGTAATATCAATAACTAGCTCTCCAATAGCTGTTTTCTGCAAGATTTAAATACTCGATGGATTTGGCGAAAAATGTACCGTACGAAGCTATTGCGACTTCTGCCTCACAACACTTCTAACCTCCAACGTATTCAGTGAAACGGGCCTGGTTTCGTCGAATTTGTTCGGTGCCAGCTCTGAAAGGCCACTAATTGCCTTGTCCATCTCCGGATCCTGTTAGTACATACAGAGACAGTTAGCATTTATTCATCTCAGTGTCGGCGGCTAGTGGTGGTTAATTATTGAGCCGCGAAGTGGCGAAGTAAATATCCGCCGCCAGCCACCGACGCTGAATGAAATAGGTGTTTTAGCATATACTAAAACTGTGAGATAACATAGCACAAAAGTGTGACTTTAATTCATTCATAACAATTATCGCACGCGTTTCTCGGAGTTAGATGGTAAAGGATATTCGGAGTTTAAATAGCTAGTCAGAGCGTGTCTTCAACTTTCTTCACTGTTTTAGTATGTACTAACTAATGATCAGATAGTCCTCGAGGTTTCCAATGGGAGGAAGTGAAGAGGAGGGGGGGAAGGGTAGTGTGGCGTTGAAGTTATTGATGTGACAGAGAAGCTAAACTTCTAATACAAACCGCAAATCATCTCTATTCCTGAAAATTTTGAAACTTTTCAGCAAATAATATATTTTGAACTCGATATTTCTATTACATGATGTGTGATGATTGTGAAGCCCACATCAAGTTTCACGCAAAGACTCGATAGTGAACTATCCAATTGTGTAACAACCATCAATTCAGAGTCAATACCACGGTTTATTCGATCCGATAAACTACCTCAGCGCACTGTTCGAATACAATAACATATGAGAAATCTTTACAAACAAGCAAGTATCCATGTCCGCAACCTTTAAAATTCCCACAATATCCGTAATGATTCCGTAATGTTCTATTCCTTCGATAGGAGTCTAGTTAAACGACTCATATCCATGAAATTAAGGCGAAAATAACAAGCGATAAAAAAACATGTGCGTCGAGGTTTGATCTAGTGTACGTCGAATAAAAAAATCTTGGCAGAGACGGCCAAATGCGCAGGAACATTACAGTTACAAATTGCTTCAGCGCAAATTAAATCTACAAGTCATTCAAAACGCATTAACAAGAAAGGTCCATTTTTATATAAAGTAACGTTATAACGGTCATACCATGTGCTATCCACTTAACACAGCTTCTTTGACGGAATTGATAGCGAGTAGTATAGCCGATCAAATTCTGTTTTTTTTTTAAAGAACGTTAGTGGATTTAGTTATGTCTTTGGCACATTTTGCTGGCGCAATTTCCCCGAGGAACAGTTATGAACTTGTCTCAGTTGTACGGTAAAAAATTTTTACCTTGCTGAATCGAGGATGAAGAACACGAAACTTAGGGTCCTCAGAGGAGGAAAGAATGGTGTAAATATACAACATTCCGGCCAGTAGGCAGAGAAGGCTGACATCTGGATGGCGGCACAGTTGGCGCACCAAACAACGTTTTAGAACAAGCATCCTGAAATAAATGAAAGTGTGAAAGGAAAGGTTTAGTTTTGCGAGCATAGTAGTCTACTACATACTAGTGCTTATGGAATGAAGAAGGTTCGATTTGGCTCAAGCCGTAAGGTACTCTTAATGCTTAGGTGCATTGGCAAGTCTAGTGTCGACCCCTCGTTAAACGGATTCAGGTCTTCAAAGACAGCGGGGTAGTTCGCGTAAATGGGCTCCACATCCTGCAACAACTCTACTTTAAGATCATTCCTTTGAACTTCACTCTTTACTGGTTACTTTGATTTAGTTTCTTCCTGTAATAATAACGCTTGTCTTCGTTTCAAAGGCTTCAGATTTAAGTGTGCTAGTGCTTTAGTTCTCTAATTGATCAACGACTTCGCTTAGAACTTGCAGAACCTACGTAATCTTCGGGTAGCAATTTCGATAGCAATGTGGAGAGCCAATGGAGGCCAAACACTTGTTCTGTCACACTTCGTAATAATCGCTACACTTTTTCATACCTCTGGCACTTTGGATAATAAAATTGTCGCACTTTGTAATAACAGACCACTACTCGCCATTTGCCCATCTATACCAAGTTTATTACATAGTGCGACAAGTGTTATTACAAAGTGCGACAGCTTATTTTATTGCAGAGTGTGATCGTTTGTTATTTCGAAGTGCGACAGTCTTTTTATTACAAAGTGCAACAGTTTTATTGCAATATACAACAGATATTAAAAAGAGCCATGATTATTATAAAGTGCAAAAGAACGGGTTCAAAATTAAAAAATCGGACACTAGTGTCTAAAATCAGACATTTGTGTCCAAACTAAGACACGTGTCAAAAATTAGACACTAGTATCCAAAATCGGACACTAGTGTTTTAGAGTTAGACACTAGTGTCTAAAATCAGTCACCAGTGTCCAAAATTGGATACTAATGTCCGAAGTCGGATACTCGTGTCGAAAAACGGACACAAGTGTATTAAATCAGACTCTAGTGTTAAAATTCCGACACGAGTGTCCAAAATCGGACAATAGCGTCCAGAATCGAAAACTATTCAAAATGGAGCACTGGCGTCCGAAATGGGACATAAGTTCCCGAAACTGGACACTAGTTTTCACTTTCGAACACTGGTGTCCAAATGTGATTTTTGTGTCAAAACTCGGACACTAGTATTTCAAAAGCACGGGAACTAGTGTCCAAACTCGGACAGTAGTGTATTATTACCTCAATTTCCTCTAATGTGTCCATTCCCCAAGAAAAGATTGAAGAGTCTTTCCGTAGGGATTGAAACACGCAGGCGTCTTCCGATTTCGCGATCGAATTCTCGTCCGACAGAAATTATTATTTGATATTTTGTCTGCTTACCAGGCCGCTTCGAGGGTCAGGCTACGATATTACAATGTACTGTTGTCAAATGCTGGGCTGAAAATGTTGTCGATGTGGATGTACCAGTACACCGCTGCTTTGTCAACAAGAGGATAACCAGACGTCTTTGTTTTGGGAATACAAATTTTCGCGATTAGAAATGGTGAGGTCCGAAAAGCATAAATTGAATGAATTCAGTTAAATTTTGCTCGGGCAAACTTATTGGGCTTGGCTCTATAAATCAGATTTCTCCACCAGTTCAGTACTCAGACGTGAAAATGTGAACGTCGAAACAGCCCTTCCAAAGTTGGATGATATAGACAATGAACCTGGCACTGGTGGTCTCTTTGCAAAGTATACAAAACAGATAAGCAGATTTTCGATTTATTGTGATAAATTTTACAAGAAAAAAAATAAAAAAATATATATATATAAATATAGAGCGAACATCATTCTTTGCGTATTCAAAGAACACGGCCTAAAATTTTCCGCCCAGATGTCAATTACCTGCGCAAATTTTCAAATATTCATTAAAAATAAAACCTACCTTCCTTGCTTGGCATTTATGTTCTTTTATGACAAGAAAACGTCCGACGGATGAATCTACTCGGCCTCCTCCAGGCCTTTCAGTTTCTGAGTCAAATATTCTTTCCGTTTGTTAATTTTCTCGTTAAGCTTTCAGGCTACAATTGAAACCAAGGTAACTGAAAAGACCGGGTAAAAATGCAAATTATGTCGTGACTACAAGTCACACCTCGTTGATCCAATGTTGACGTGGTTTCAATAAATGCAAATTACCGCCGAACTATCGCCTTAAGACGTAAGACCTCTTACCATCGAGTCTATTAAGCCTGCAGGCTCTTGTGTCTGGGTTTCACCTCACGGCCTCGTTTCCGGATCCTGCTCATCACATGATCGGCAGCCTCTTCCGGAAAAAAGTTATTGAAACTCCGGTTGTTCTTAATTTACTCGTAGACACCCAGAAGAGTCGAACATTGTTAGAAAGCAAAGTTTTGTATGGAGAATTCCATAGGAGTTATCTGAGGAAACAGATAAAAAAATTGTTAGCACTCTTCTGATATTCACGCTGGACGAACAAAATGTAATTCTGTTGGAAGTCTATGAAACTGAAATGGATGGCTGTTTTATAGAAAAGAAGTTTCAACGAAAAGTAGTCAAGAGGCGGCCTTTACCCGTTTTGTTTTTTTAGTGAGATCTCGGAAATCACTCCGTGTTCGACTTTGAAAACGGTGAAACTCCATTTAAGAACTGACTTCGGATTTACCAAACGACAAAATGATTCGAAGTTTTTGTGGAAGGAGATACTGCTTCGCCTTTTATTCCATGTTTAACAAGGTTTTGCACCATACCTGAACAAATGACACTCACCGTGGGCGGAGATTTAGCTAGCTCTATCATATTTATAATTAATCCTTTTGAAACCTTAGTCTAACCAGGCCATCTTTGATGTGAAATATTTCTAAAGTCAAAGAACAGAAGCTGTGAATGTACCGTTACAATTCCTTTAAAATAGCCTCCAGGAATACCTTAAACGGAACGGTGGCAGGTTGCTTGTTCCTCCAGTTTTTATTTATCGTTTTATATTTTTTGTGAGGACGATAGTGTAATAGACACGGGTTTTATTACAATTAGCCAAAAGTGAACGGACATATCTGCGCGTGCTTCACCATTCAAGAGCTGTTTAAAATACGTTGTCAATCAAAACATAAGTAATTCGATTGTATTCATTCAACTTTATTGCACTCTTTATTAAATCAGTTGTAGAGCTACAACGGTAAAATGATTGAATGTGTTAAAATTATTCCTTTGTAACTACCTCTGTGTTATTAGTTCCAACTGATTCAAAGATATGATACGAATTTCTTGCTGAGCATAAATTGTAATTCTTTTATTCCTACTATTGAGTTAGAGCTAAATTTCAATGATATATTTATTCAATTACAAATTTCCCAAAATTACATAAATATACTGCTTTACTTTAAAACTTTCCAAACTAAAAATCTCTAGAATCTCGCTGGATAGGCAACACAAACAGTAGCGGTGAAGCATTTGTAGAAATTTTGAAATTACAAATTATTACAATCTCGAATAAAAGATACATGGCGTTATGGCGTACTCAGAGGGAAATAGTTCACTCGAACGAAATGGCACAAAGTGTTTAGAATTGGAATCATTTTTGTAACACGTTAAATCAACAAAAGTTTCACGTAAATAACCAAATTAAATTTGATTAGAAAGAGTTCGATCACTCTTCAGATATGGCGACCGAAATTGTAAGCGTTCATTAAGACCAAACGGGATATTTGTTGTACAACCTTCAAATGCGCTTCAAATCGTCAAACTTACACACTTTTATCAAGAAAGATGTTAAGATAAATCAATTTTTATTTCAAAACTCACAGACATTTCTGCGGCTGGTAGCCTACGCGACAGACTCGTTTACGGATGTAACAGAGAGAAGAGAAGTAGGTCTGTAAACGCATGCTAAGTGGCTAGGGGTGTTGGCGGCCATTGTTCCTGTTATACATACATTTGTAAAGATTGGATACGTATTTAATTTCAACCACCATTTTGAAGAATGATTTCTTGACCTCTTCACCAGCTCACGAACTATATAAAATATATCCCAACTAGTACCGACCACTATTTGTAGGTAACCTTTTTTCAATTTCAAATCTGATCTGTTATGATTCACAATCTTCATTACTGAAAAGAAAATTCTTTTTATGTATCTCCATTAAGTTTTTCATATCTTTCTTCAACTGAAATTCGTGTAGATGTGCATCTGATTGGACTATCGCCACCGATTGACTACCAGCCTTAATATTTAGATGCGACTGTCCGAACTTTCATTTTCAAGTCGGGAAACTGGCAAATGAGCCTGTGATTTTTGCACAGACTGTTGTACTATTTTGTTGACGTAATAACTGAGTTCTCGCGCCGTTCTCAATTAGAACAAAGGTCTGACACTTGACGAGTGCTTCAACGAAGCATTTTGGCAGATGACTCTTTAAAACAAGTTTCGCTGACCAAGCAATTGTCACCTTGCCTATTTGTAAACGCAGAATGTTTAAGCTCCTGGTCATTTCCCTGAAATCATTCGCCACGGGTTAAAGTAAGCGCTTCAGTTCAAGAGAGGAAAGTTGTAGATCTTGATTCAAGAGTAAAAAACAAATAGCTCCAAGAGACATCTGGTTTTTAGTTAAAAGAGTAACTCATCTAGGGTAAAGCAATTTGCTAAAAATAGTCAAAGAAAAACTCCTGGTTGAAAGAAAATTTCCTCCCAGTTCATATCGCACCTTAAAATCTTTCATTCCAGTTTAAAGGTTTCTCACTGGATCGACTCTTAAAAAAACCAAAATCAAAGTAAAGCTAACGGCCAATCAAAACAAAGAATTGAACCTTGTAACCGGCCTAAGCGCGAGAAAACGCAGCCAGGGAGGCCGCGATGGTTTTTTCGTTTTTCCCCTGATTGGTCTAAAGCGTGGCGCAATCTTTTCTGGACCAATCAAGTGGCGATACGAAGCAAACCCAATGCAGTGTCGGATTATTTCCGACAATCGATTGAAGCCTGCTCACGTGGAGAATACGGCTTAGAAGCTGTGACGTATAAAATAAATTGTCTTGTAAACGAACCATATCTAAAATAATAGAACTTCTTTCTTGCGAGACACTTGTTTCCAAGCTGCCAGCTTGTAGAACTCTTCTCTCGACATTGAAAACACTTCACGGAATTCCTCATCGGAGAGATACGACTGAAAAAATACGAGGTTAAGATACATTTAGTCTTAAATTGATTGACTGAAATGCAATGGTTATCTCCTTGGCCCAAGGTGGCACTTCACATAATTCTGAAGTCCAGTAAACTAAAACAAGGGAAGACCCATGCCTGAGGTCGAATGAAACATTCCTTTTCAAGCAAACATTTTGTTTGGAATTTTCATGAGTTCATATAATGTCGAATGAACTAAGTTTGTAAATTTGGTTTAAAGGGAATATCACTCTTAGCTGAAAGTCTTAGTCGGACTGCATTTCCAATAAGAAAAGCGAAAAAATATTTCGTAGGTAACGATCAAACTGTTGTGAAATATAAGGCAAATTTAGTGATTTCCCAGAGCGAAGTGAAAAGACTCACCTCGAGTTTCGTCTTGTCCGCTCCTCGTGGCAACTTGTAGTTTGTTGTTTTGAGATCCTTGTAAGCGTAAATCTATGAACGACGAAAACAAAATGAAATCAATTTTGACGAAATACCACATTCGCTGAGTGCTCTTTTGTCCAGCGTTTCTGCAAGGAATTATGAAAATAAGGTTTTCAGCCCGTGAGTTATATTAGATTTTGTAGTCTGGTGGTCCAAGTGAAGGACTGGGTAGTCCTAAGAAGTCCAAGAGGACCGTTGTCGGATGTAGTAACTGACATTTTCACAACCCTTTAGCGGAAGTCATCATCAGAGTCAAGTGAAAAGTTGTTGTCAGTCGACTGTTGTATGTCCGGTCCTTGTGAACTGATTGGTCTGTTTAGCTGTGATTTTGTTAGTTGTTAACCTCAAGAAGCATGAGTCGATCGTTACTGGACATCTGTTGAGATGCCAACAACTTATTATTCACGACATTAACGCAACAAACGACAAGAGCGCAAGGGCCTAAGATTACTCTCGGATCGAGGCCGAATCTTTTTTCCCTATACGAAAAGACGAACCAATCACACTTAAGTCAAGCGGCCTAACACAATCGTACACAGTTGGTTCCAGGCCCTTCCCTCTCATATTACTCACCCCTCCCTCACAGTCTCCCTTCATCCTCAACACCACCCACCTGGGGTTTTTTGTCGACACTTCTTTCAAATTCTTCCATATCTAACGAGTCTTGCGAACCTACGAAAAATTCATTTGCCATTTAAATGTCATTGCAATGAAAAGCCTAGAGTAATATTGGAACTCCTGTACATATATCTGAATCCATATTATTCCAGTTAGATGTTTGAATCTGAGTACTAAGAGGAATTTCGAAAGTTTTTTGATGGTCATCGGAGTAGATCGAGAGGCTTTCGGGTGGTTATCGGAGTAGATCGAGAAGCCTTCGGGTGGTTATCGGAGTACATTGAAAGACCTTCGGTCACTATTAGATATGCTCGGAGTTTCTAGCTTTCTGACTCACGTTTTTATTCCTTATAAAGGTGGGACACTTCTTTTTTAACCAATAAGAAATTACCTCGTTTTGGCTTATAAAAAACAACAGTCACTTTTCAACTGAGAAGGGAGAGGGTTAGAGGTGCAACACAAACATGTTCTTACCTATCCCTCGAGGTGATTCATTCAGACTTGCCTTGAAATTAAAATTAAAAAGCATTGATTTAAGAGGGATAGAATACAGCTGACAGATCAGGCTTATGCGGCTAGAAATAAACAGCCACAACCACAGGTCACCAAAAATTTTAGTTTACAAAGTGATAGCAATTAAAAAACTCAAACTTGTTCCTTGAAACACAAAAGGTAACTGTAAATTGCCATAACATTTAAAATAATGATACTTTCATCTTCTGAAGATAGGTAGGCTTATCTGACAAAGCACCGAGAGGAAAGAGCCCAATAAGGTTTGCCTCACTCTCAATCTGAAGCGGGAAGCTCAGTGCTTTCGTCGAAAATAGCGCCAAACTGTTATCCAGGAGGCATTTGTTCAAACCCCGCAGTGTTTTCTGATAGTTTTTTTTTTGTTTTGCAGTTTACTTCATTGGCGTTCCTACCTCTTGCCTGGCAGTAATCTCTCTGTATGAACCGCTGTTATCTAGATGAAGGGGTAAAAATAATAAATATAGCAAACCGTCAACTTTAGCCCCAATAAAACATAGTTTAAAAACCTACTGCAACTTAGAAAAAAAAAATAACGCTCATCGCCACTTTACCCTTTATACCCTACTATTTCCTTCGAGGGAGAGGGGGGTGACATCTTTTGGTAGTTTTACTTCCATCAGCGGCCTTTAGTTGAGCAATTATGGCATTGCAGTCACGGTCACAACATTCATGATACGATACTACAACGGTTGCAGTTCGAATACTTACAGGCTCCAGTGTCTTTGTTTGAGGTATGACTTGACTGATAGCGAGATTGTTCCTCCTAGAGAAACAATAACGTCTTTAATTTCATTCTAAACCCTTTCAATCCTGAATTCTCAATATCCAGAATTTTTCCTATATCGTATCTGTCATACATTTCTTAAAATGATAGCTCTGAAAATTGGATAATTGGAATCAGGAAGTGATGATTTTTTTCTTTATTCTCATTACTTGTCTAAATGTCAGTCTAGTGAAACTGAGAGGAGAAATCATGGGTTGGTCACTTTTTACTTTACCGTAGTTCTGTTAAACTAGACCAGAGCTAATGAAAATTTGATCTGATTTACAAGTAGTCATGTCTGGCATTTACTTGTAATAATAGACCTGATTTCTACGGACTGACAAATACTTCATGTAACATTCTTCTTCATTCTCTCACCTGCTCTACTCTCCAAGTCGCCGCTGGCTTGTAAGTTTGTTCTTCTTTCAGAGGCGTGTACTTCACTTTCCAGTCTGATACGCGACTTGCTGAAGTTCTTGTGGGAGGGGGGGGACGGGGAGCTTCCTCTTCTACAAATTCACCATAAAATTAGTTAATAAACTTAGAACGATACGAAAGATATTGACCTTCATGATTTCGCGATTGTGCCATTTTACCATCTTAGGGTAGCACAACGCAACGTGCCGGGGTTGGTTTCGTTTATGCTGTTTGGTTCTGATGGAAAATGCGACGGTTTTTTTGTCTTATCAAACTTGAATGCTTTATGTTAAAGAATACGTGTAGAAATAAATAGCCTTTTATGATAGCTCGAAAATGGTAGCAAACTTGTATTAGAACAAGTAACGCGAATCCGAAATCAAATTTGTCACAACAGCCAATCAGAAGAAAGGATATAAGCAAACTCCCTAAAGCGCGGACGATCAAGTCGCAATTGGTTTTAGTTTTGCATCTGATTCGTTAAGGAACTGGCGCAAGTTTTCTGGACCAATCCCAGAGCGAAGTGAAGCAAAACCAAAATAATCCCGGACTATTTCGACACTCATTTGAAACGTGCTCTCTTTTCATATGAACAATTGAAGTTCTTACCAGGATACTGATATCCATTGCGTAGACCTCCCTGGGAAATAAAGATGAAAAGTTTGGTTGGGATAATGAACGATGTTACTCGCGTTGTCCCGAGCGTGGAACACAGAATAAAACTGAGTAACTGTGGGGAATCGAACATTATAACATAACCAAAGTAAAGCGCGCGCTCTGATTGGTCAATTTAGCGTCCCCCATTTGCCTATGGGTGTACGCTGCTGACGTGAGCAAATGCAAAGACTATTTTTCCGCGCGCGCTTGTTTTTTCTGGCCACGTAAGATTTATTAAATAAAAGGGAACTCTTTAGCTACAATGTATCAATGTTATGTTATAAAACAAATGGTAAACACCACAGCTACACTACTGAGTTATGGATGCACTTGGGAGGTTTGCTAAGCACTCAAGAAGCTAGAGTCGCTCTCGGCTATCGCCTCGAGCGACTCTTACGCTTCTTTCGTGCTTAGCAACCTCCCGCGTGCATCCATAACTCAATAGTGTACACTGTGGTGTTTACCATTTGTTAATTTGCATTTGCTCACGTCAGCAGCGTACGCCCATGGGCAAATGGGGGACGCTAAATTGACCAATCAGAGCGCGCGCTTTACTTTGGTTATGTTATAATTCTCATTGAAGAACCGACTAGGGATATTGTTACTCCTCCAGGACGGAACACTAACTCATTGCAAGCACCCGAAATATTTTGTTAAGTTTCCCTGATACTCACTCATACTCCCGGATTGAGCGAGGTACAGTGCTACGTAAGAGATAGCTTGCCCAAGAACAATACTCAGAGGGCCAGTATGCTGGGCCATTGCATCTCCACCCCAAACAATTCAAATCATTTATAATCTATTTCATCCTCACTTACCAGAAGTCATCAATTTCAACAACTACCAAAAAACTATGAGTTACGTTTACATAATGCATTTTTGAGATTATTTTAGTTTTGATGGGTAACTTACAGAGTCTGTTTCCAGTTCACCATTCTGCGCTGCTGCATAACTACAATCTGGATGCCAAATTTCAGATCCTGTACACAAATTTGAGAGACATCATCAATTGATCACACAGAGGGCCTCATACGAGTGACGAGTGAGGACAACTTGACTGGGTTGGTCATTGAGATCTTGACTGCCATCCTCATTCTTTTCAAAACCAATGTGACATGAGAAGGGATTAGTTACCTGGCTGTGACTAGAATCTAGCTAACTAAACTTTTACCACAAAATTCCACCACCCCATTGATGTGGATAAAGTTTGAAAGATTCTCCCTTGATTACTCTAGCTAGTTTAGCGTCTCAATTTAGCAATAGGGCTGAGATTTTTCAAAAGTGTATCAATTCCAAAGGTAAAATTCACTGCCACTACCAGGCCAGCACACTTACAAAAAATTGTAATAATTTGGACAATAAAGTTTCCACAGCAGATCCATATATTGTATCTCCTTACCTTGCAGAAACATCTCTTGTCCCTCACCAAACACTCCATGACACCTTGCGCAGCGTGAACACTGAGGGTGATAATGTTTTTCACCAGCCTGAAATAAACAAATCAGCCCACAATTCTTGTGATTCTATCACAATTGTCCCTAATGGGAATAGCACAAACAACTGGGGAATGGCAAAAGAGAGCTGCACCATTGGTTTAAGGCTGATTGGTTTACAAATTACTTTCTGACAGTCTTCAACAAAATACTCAACAAATCTGATTGAAGAAATACCAGTACAAAACAATTTGTGGATCTTGTATAACCAAGCACAACTTTCTCAAATGTGCAATTTGTAGTTCATGCTAATATCATCCATCCTTGAGGCCAGCTTCCCCCCCCTGTTGAATCTGACCTCTGCCTCCTATCTTTGCTCAATTCTAACCTCCCTTGACAGTGTTTACCCAAACTATTTGAATATGGCTGCATTGTTCCTTTACCTGTAGGACCTTTCCAATGATATATCCACCACAGCCAGCACAAGTCACACCAAACTCTGCTTGATAATCTTTCTCACAGTAAGGTTTTCCATCCCTGAAAAGAAAAAAACAAAACAAAACAAAAATAAACTTGTAGACCTCCTATCCATCACAATTTACTACTTAAAGCTAAGAATTTATTCAGAGAAACATGAAGAAGATGAACAATGAATTTGAAATATCAGTGAAAATCATATAATTTATGTGTACTGCAGTTTCATGAAATGTATGAAAGTGATCTTCACAGGCCTTATTTCCACTACTAAATAAGTAAGGGTTCATTACTGCAAGGATTGCTTTCATATATTTCATGAAGAAGATTGTATGTCATGTAATAATTCATTTATTGTTGATGATGTGGAAAATGGTCGCCCAATCTTTTGAGCAATGACGCTCCTGTTTAAAGCACTTGATAAGAATTAAGGACTTACTGAGAAAAACAATGTCACCTCTCCTCTGTGTGTTGGATAAAAAACTGCAGCTGGGCTGAGCTAAAGTGGCACAGCTAAAATGGTTGATCTCAACAGAACACACATTGTGGCAAAAAGATTGACTCTAAATCTAAGCAAGTAGTATTGTGCACAAACAAGGAAAAACAGCCAATTGAAAATGAAATAGTAATTACTGGTACATTTCATATAACTAACCTGCCCATGTACTCTCCAGCCAGCAGGCAACCACATTTTGTACATGTAAAACACCAAAGATGCCACTGTTTCTCCAGGGCTAACAACGACTGGCCACTGCGAATATCTTCCTCGCAGCCTGCACACCCTAAGGAGAAATTTCCAGAATAAAAAATTGAAGCAGGAAAGCTAACTATTCAATAAATGTACACATAGTGGTTTGAATTCTATCTGACATCTAAAGGTGTAAAACCTTTAGAACTATTTTAACCCTCTAATTCCCAAGATCCGAGTGTTAATTCTCTCCTCTAACTGCTACCCATTTTCTTGTAAATTAGTTGTGAGAATTTGGTGCGAGATCAAGATAATACCTTCTACCTGATAACTTTGAGTATTCTGATTAACTCTTTGCTGGGTAATGTATAAACATTACTGTAAAGGGTTAACTTGACTTTCCCTTGGTCAACTTTCAGTTGAACTTACTATCCAGTTTGTGTCCTCTTGAATCATCGTTTATTTCCTTTGCAGTGCTACACTGCTGGCAGAGGTAATGGTTGCCTTTTGCAACAACTTTCTCACCTGGAGGAAATGGATTTCTGCAACAAATGCAAAACATAGTGATTGAATACACTGAATGCACCGAATGAGCGGTGTGAGATAGTTGTATTTTTTGACATCAAATGAAGGATTACAAGATACTCTGCCACTGACAGTAAATGCAAAATTATCTTTTGATCAACACTGCTAAAGCTTGAGTCAGAGTGCTTCTTGCATTCAGGTTATATCAGCCCCCTCTGATGTAAGCCCTAATCCATTTATAGGCCCTCTTAAAACCACTTATGAAGTTGTATAGGTCCATGGTTTATATACAGCAGTTTACAGTAAAATCAGTGTGCTTGAAGTACAAACTTTAAGAGAACATTAAAAAAAACCTCACCTGCAACCAGTACAAACAAAGCATCGTACATGATATGCATTGTTGCCAACGTTAATTCCTTCTCCTTCCACAAACAGATGACAAATGAAGCATTTTGTACCAAAACGTTCCTGGAAGTCTTCTGGACAGTAATACTGGTTGCTTTGCACAAAAAAACCTATATTTGCCAAATCCTTGCCGCAAACTGTTTTAATCAAATAACAATAAAAATACTTTTTAGGATGAAGTGGTTATAGCATTTGATGTTATTCTTGTATTGCGTCTACTGGTGGCAGATGCATATAATTATATACCTCTGTTATGGCAAGAGTTGTTGGTGTCTAGAAAGTTAATGTGAGTTACTAATATGATGAACTGGGGTACATAGTTTTCAAGTCATGCCAACATCTTAATATTAGCAATCAAACCAAACACTATTGATCACACAGTATATTGTGATCTCAACAATTGATAGGAATCAGATATTAGATCTTTGTATTGAAAGGACTAAGCAAATACATTTCATGAGGCACTTCAAGCTAATCAAGCAAAATTTTGTGGGTCAATACTAGATTTAATTAAGTGCATGTAATTAAGGTTGCTATTCTAGAATTTCCCTGCAAAATTCAAATGCATTTTGATGTTACAATTGCATCACCCATTAACCATTAGATTTTCTCTAAAGTCATAAAACAATTCCTTGTACATTAGATCTAGCTGAGAGTATTTGGAGTTTTATGGAGAGAACACCCTCAACCTTTAACCCTATGAGTGAATGAAGTCCTATTTTTTCCTTTCAATATCACTCCTGATTCACAGCTTCCGGTCACGAGAATAAAGGAAATGATCATGAACTAAAGGAGCTCTTGATTATTAAACAAATTCTCCTTGTCAGCACCTTAGGAAATGTAAAGAGAACAGTATGGAGAATATGCATACTGATGTTAGGGTGTAAAGCTTTGTCTGTTCATCATCACCCATTTGTGGGACAAAGTATTGGTATTACTTTCTGAGAATAGTTTAAACAAAGCATCTCTCTTCTATAACACTGGAAACAAATGGACATTTTGCAGTGCATAAAACCAGAAGGTAATAGGAGAGACCAGCACCTTATTTCTCCTTACAGTAAAACTGCTGAATCATTCATTAAAATCATGAGAATAAAGAAATTGATCGTCAACCTTAGAAGCTTTGATTGTTACACGGATTATCCCTCTCAGTACCGAAAATTGTTTAGAGAAGTTATAAAATGTCGTAATAATGATTTTCGAACCCATAATTTATATATTTTACTGTAGTATATTGTCAGACTTCATTATACCTTCATTATCCCACAGAGCATCGGTGTCCTAGGTCATAAGAATACCAAATGCAGCCAATATCTCAAAAAATAATTAGTTTCAGAAAACAGTGGCTGCATTTGAAGTGGTTTCAGTGCATGGATGACTGGCCAGGCTAAACTATTAGAAAAGATAATGCTAGACACTGGAAACCAGTCCAGCCCTTGGCCATATGATACAACAAAGAATTCACTCGGGCCACCAAACTTTTGCCAAAACATCTAAATTTGCACATAGTTAGGTGGACAAATATCTTATAAATTTGTTCTTTCAACAAGCCAATTAATATAAGCTGAATTCCAAAAGGAGGCATTGTTTTATTACATTTTCAAGGCATGAGTGAGCTCATAATTATTCTCCCGGCTCAAATCTTTTTGTCTTCAATGAGATGTCCTGGATGATACTGTATGAGTCAGAACACACAAAGAAAATTTTGATAAGAAATGTCTCTTTCACTGACACATTTTTGCAATTGCTCAAAACTTTGCAATTGCAAAAAACCTTGTTAAAGCCTTCTGTTTGCAACTTTTATTTATTTATTTTTAAAAACAATCAAGACTGAAAGTCTATTTTACAACTTTCAAATGAACTCACGTAACTTTACTATCCTTCCCTAACGAATAGAGTTATCTTGCCCGCTTTGTAATTCAATCACTCCTTTCATCACATGATTGATTAATCTATCAAGGTCTAGTGAAGACAATATCACTCGTGGCTTAATTAATTCCTAAGAGATACTGCTATCAAACTGAGACTAAATAATCTACGCTTTACTCGTTAAACTTGGGGTTCAAGGTGAGGGTTCAAATAAAAGCATTCAGTACATTTAATCGATGACATTTTTTCAAAAAAAAAGTTTTCTTCTGGTTTTTTGAGTTTCGAAGTTCACAGTTCAGGAATAGTGAAGTTCAAATTCGTTTATTACGCGTTAATATGCATTTCTCGGGCCATTTAACACGAAGGTTAAACTTTCAGTTAAACTTGTCTACACATGCTGGTACTGGCTCCAACACACTTCAAATTAACGCCGAACTGAAAACGGCGAACAAATAATTACAATGTTTTAAAATGCTTAATGGCGCCAAACAATACCTGCAGTTTTATTTTGTTAGCTTTGAGGGTGGAAATATAAACAACGACTTGAGTTGCATATGAATATCATGAATAATAATGATGCCTTTGAAAACGTTTCGTGCAATTTTCATTACAGAAAATTCGATTTCGCTGCCTTTTTCCCGTAGGTCGAGATCCTTAAATAAAATTACAGCGGATCGGAAAATAAGGCGTCACATCAGATAATCGCCTTTAAAAGATTTACCACTCAGACGTTAGCCATTTGATTATTTATTTAAAAATAAATTTGCGATACGAACCTTTTAAGACAATTTTAAAGCATTTTTAAAGCCTATGCAGTGCTGTAGACACATATCGACGACAAGCACTAAACAATCACACGGGATACATGCCTTCATTTTATGCGAAACGTATCCAATATTCTAATCCCGCAAAATAGTTGTTAATACTACATTTGAACTGCCAGAGATCGTCCATTTTAAAGACAAAAAAATGACGTGAATTTCAAACATGCAAATTTCTGTGCCGAATGAATAGCGATGACACGCGATACGCGATTGGAGGCAAAAATTTCGCTACAAATCTGCGTTCGTTACTGTTTTACTTACCCAAGCAAACGAGGCAGTCGGCATGAAAGAGCTGATCGTTGACTCGCAGCGATTCTCCTGTGCAAACCTTCTTACATCGTAAACAGCGCAGCGAGGATTCCCTGTCTAAGATAAAAGATATCCTTAAGAAAACAACTCGAAATGTACTGAGCTCTAAACTTTAAAATCGCGAGGTATTCGAGGACTGTAAAAATTAATTCTTGACTTTGGTTTGCGATCTTACATACCCATTGATGTTCTGGAGTTAGAAATCCTCTTCGGGACAAATCCTGTGTATTTGTAAAAGCACAATGAAATGTTATTAAACAAAGACAGCACGAGCAAGCCGTCGGCGATCTCTCAAATTCAAATCCACCCCCAAATACACGATCCACAATGCCTTTCCGTCCTCGAGCGGAAATTACCCACCCAGCATATTTTGCGCGCTTTATAAAATTATTTGAGTTCTCTTTACATCACATCACGTATTCGACAAAAAATAATTTAGCCTCAAGTGTCAAGCAGAGAATTACCAAATTTTCGTCACATCGATTCACAGTCAATTGACTTTCTCTCTCGCATCGACTAGATAAAAGAGTGACTCTTCTATAGTACTGCTGAGATGTTATGTAGCGCATTTTTTTTCCGTTAGTTCATTCGTTAGTAAGGTTCCTCGCTGGGTCATCGCTCTTTTCACGTTTGTTTCGAGTGTTTTCCCTCCTTTCACAAGGGATCGGAGCTGCAATTGAATTGCGTGACATTGAGGTAATGGTAGGCGGTAGGCGCAGTGCAGAACGTGCGTTTTATAAAAACGGTGGAAAACAAAGAGTCGTATAGGTTTCTTTAATAACGAACGTAGTTTTCTCTAAAGTGCGCTGAACGGTATCAAAACGCTTTGGATTCGTTGAGGGGTAATCTAAGCTACTTAGCTTTGACAGTTAGGAGGCGGATATATCGGTGAGCAACGATAACGAAAAGGAAATTGGATAAAAACAAGATAATTTGAAGAAATGGGGTCGAGGTTAATTCCCAAATTGTTGTATCTCTAAAATTACCTTTGTATAAAATTGATTTGCATTGCTTTCAAGAACGTCTAAGCGACCTGAACATCGAAAGGCTTAAAAAAGCGGGGTTTTTTTTTGGTAATTTCTAGCTAACTAATTATTTATTTATGAATAATTGTTCAACTAAACTCCAATTTTATTTTGTGTCTATGAGTGACGAATTGAGAATCACAAGTTAAAGGTCGTAAACTGCTGTTAAAGTGATTGAATCAGGGCCAAGAAAGGAAGTAAATGATGAATAAGTAAAACGAATGACAAAAATTTTAGCCTTAAAAAGGTTTGTGCGTTATTCTTTTCCGTTTGTAAAAGTTTATGACTCGCAAAAATGTTTTTTTCATCTGATGTTCAAGCAAATTAAATTCTAGACACTCCATTGAATAACGTTTTATTTAGATATTTTTATTCACGATGTTTTGAAATCAAAGGAAAACAATATTTCCTGTTCATATTTTACTTTGATATCCTTTATTAATGGTTTGTTGGACCCAGAACTTGAGATCCATCATGTCAGCGTACACTCCATATCTTCCTTTGCGCGCGCATCCTTGTCCCCAGCTGATGACACCCATAAGATACCACTTGTCGTTCCTTACGCACACCAGTGGTCCACCACTGTCTCCTTGGCATGCGTCAATTTTTCCCTCACTGTAGCCTGCACAACGCATGCGCGTTGATATTTTGTATCCCAAGTCGTTGTATCCTTCTTGACATTTTTCACGTGACACAAGGGGTACTATTGCTTGCTGCAAAATCTGGAAGTGGCAGATAACACAAATGGTGTAAGGTATGATAGCTCATTCACTTTTGTTGCGGATTCGACATTGTCACAGGTTAGCCCAATTAAATTTTTTGTCCGAACGATTTTCAACCAATTTGTTGTTATTTCACCCTGGAATTTGCCATGCACATCTTTCTAAAAACGATTGTGGTATGTTCACGAGTTATTCATCGTAACGTCGGCATTTCTGGATTTCTCCAGGAGGCCTCGTTTACTCGCATCTGTGGCTAGTTAAACATTGTCATTTCGCCTTGGTGACTCATTTGGTGTTGCTATGCCATGTTGACGAGACCCGATCATTTCGGAACAGTTGAGCTTGAGCTCGCACTACTGAACCGTACAGGGAGTGGCGTGGGGGGGAAGGGGGATGGGAGGGGCGGCAGTACTTGGAGTGCGTTTGGTAACTAACTAATATCATACAAATCTTATTACATGATTCACGCGTGCCCTCTCGCCCCTCCCTCCCTTTTTCCTCTCCTCCCCTCCTCCAACTTCATGTTTATCACTAACCTGTGCAATGCTTCCATCCTCGGAAGTGTAACCCCATCCAGTTACATAACAATTTGTTCCGGAGTCAAAGTCTGATTTAGCCAGGCACACGGGTCGTACGTGATTGTTGTACCTTATGGGGTTTTTTAGTTTGACCAGTGCCACATCGTAGTCGTGATTCGCAATCCTGTTGTATTTAGGATGTATGATGATCTCCTGTATTGTCGTATTTTGTTCAAATCCGTCCACTGTGTTAAGATCATGTTCACCTGAAATATCAGGATTAATATAGTATCTGAGGTACTGCGCTCCTACCCCTCCCCCTCCCAACCCAACAACAATGAGTTAACAACTTTGCAGGAATGTTGTGTTAGGGGAGAGGTAGGTGCGCAGTTGTTTAGATACTGGCATAAATCCTAAAATCACGAGGAAGTATTGCTCTCCTGCTTTGGAGAGAACTTAAATATCGTTTTTAAAGAATAGTTGGAAGTAAGTCTGGTTTCTTTTAGATAATGAGCAGTCCCTCCCTTTCGGCGGAGTCCGTCGCGTCAGTCGTAAAAAAAGTAGCCAGAAAAAAATTGATGCTAGCGCGTCGCACTGATATCTGGAAGTGAGGCGCTCGAAAAGAGTTCACGTTAGGGTGTGCAAACATCAACTTTCTTTTTTATTAACTCTTTTTTTACTCGCGCCACAGATTTGACTTTTTCCACGGACAGGAGTGATCAGAATTAGTGCTGTTCTCGAGCTTTTTAGTGATGAACTGTACGAGATAATGTTTCAATAATGGTGACCACTTATTACTATGCCAAACCTCTTTAAAAGCTCGCCAGGACCCATTAATTGGTCCCGTCGGAGGAGAATTATTGTTAGACAGCAAATCGGGCTGGAACCCAGAAAAATGAAAGTTAAAACAAACTTCTTCCCTACCTGCAACAATGCTGTAATCCTTGGGGTCATCGCCCGAACCAAAGCAATGAGCAGCTGTAAGGATATAATGCGGGGTCACTATTGAGCCACCGCACCAGTGAGGACCAGAATGTCCCTTATAGTCCATTGTCACCTGCCATGGCCAAGCCCCTGGCCGTGCGTTTGTACCCCCCACAATTCTGCTACCGACCGCTTTCCTGCCACATTCCACGCTCCCTAAGTAAGGGAAGAGTGTAATGGTTAGTTTTTAGAACAGAGATCACCCGTTGAAAAGTTCGTTTTAGAGAGAGAACTTAACATTTTAAGATGGTGCATGGAATGTAGAGAAATTTGACATCCCAGTGGTCAAGATTCGATCGTTATCTATTTATCTTCCTTTAATTGCTCACTTAAAGTATCATTTCAAAAAAGTTTTTTATACCGTTTCTGTTATTATTCCTTTTCAAATAAACATCAAGGCTTTGTTTCGCATATTCTGCTGTTTCTCAAAAACAAAATGAGCGCCCTGTCCCCTAATAAGCGCCCTGTTTCGAATAAGCTCCCCTCCTAGAGGTACCATAACAAAATAAGCGCCCTTGCTCTAAATCGAATCATTATTGTAACTGAAAATTGTTGACATTAATCACGGGGATGGAATGGGGGACGCATGAATCTCGTTTCTGCTGCGACCTTTGATACAGGTATGTTAACTTACCCTGGTCAATAGGCTGTTCTGTACGAGGAATCGTTGTTGGTGGTATAGTTGGTGGTGTGACTAAAAATTGAAGGAAACGAATGAAAAATGAATTTATTGAACTAGGGAATGTTTTATTTTGAGATGTAGAGCGGGAAAGCCTTCCCTAGTGATACTGGTGACCATGGAACGTCACGGCATCCAAAATGGTTACACAAAACTTTTCGTACAGTTAATGCTTATTATCAAAACAAAATACATGACGCTTTGTTTCCGCAAGGATTTCCTTCGTATTAGCGCTCAAAATCCCCAGCAGTTACCTCAGCTGAGTAAGTTTAACTAATTTTGGATCAGCTGTGCTGCAGTAGCCGTTTGACCCTTTTATTTATTTGAACGCCAGTATTCTTTACCATTACGTCAACAGCTGAGAGTTCACCCCATAGTCTGAAAGGTCCTCCTTTTTTGAGGAGCCTCCCTGTTAAAGAAGTAAGCTCATATAATGAAGAGTACTTGAAAAAAAACGTAGACCACTTAGCTTGCCTTGAATCTATAGTTTAACAATAACCTGACCAATGTTCAGTTTAAACATTTATGTGCTCGTTCGTTGGTTTGTTCAATAACTCGAAGGGATTTATAATTTGCCGTTCGTACCTACGCACACCCCACAGGTTTTTGCACAAAAGCGCCTCACTGAGCCTCCAATAACAGGGTCCGTGCATCGGTTCTTGATCACGTGACAGTAGGAAACACGGTCTAAGCATGCTGTAAATAAGAAACAACGAAAGTATTCAGGTATACTCAGAGATATTCAGTGGTTCCGTCCCACGGTCGGTTCTAGCTTAAACCGATTCAGCCGATTCGTGTCCAGTTTGAGTGGGTTCGCGCCCGAACCACTGGTCGATTTTTACCCGCCCCAGTATACTTTCATTTGAAATACCGCGCGAGCGGGTGAATAGATATCGACGTTTGCAGTTGGTCGATTCAAGCGAGAAAGATGCAAGTTCAAGGGAAATTCTGTGGTGGATACTCGTGACCCTCTAAGCAGAAAAAACTGAACTATTGCATTTTCGGTTTCAGGTCTCACATTCGGTAGTCGCGTGTAAGAAATGGACGCTACATAAATTAAAACTGGATTTAATGCAGGTAATAATGCAATTTAAATTAAGAAACTGCCCTTACCTTAAACATACTTAACACGGAAAACATACTTTATTGATATGGTACGATATGACTCGACTGGCTGGGTACGAATGGTCCTAGTTGGGTACGAAGCGACTGGGTACGAAACGATCGTGGGTACGAAACAATTGGTAACCCACCCCTTGAAGATCTCACTGAGAGCTGAGGTGACTGGAGAATGATAGAGCAGAAAGTGCTCGAAGAACAAAGTATGTAGCTGGGAGCTCTTGTAATTACTATGGATAATTATTTTATTTCAGTCTTTCTGACTTGTGAAAGGATCTTCCTCGTTTCCTCTCGTCTGTATAATGGATATATGAGCACTCTTCGACCGAAAAACAGCATCTGTGGAACTTTTACGCAATTGCATTGTTCTTTATGCGATGTGTTAAGTCGCCTTACCAGATACACGTTTGCTATTTCACATAGCTCCTAAGTTGTACATTTTTGTAAGGGTGATACGCTTTAGACAGAAGCTCTCTTCAGTATTTCTGGTAAATCTGAGGGGGAGTTGAACAGAGACGTGTACTTCAAGTAGATATTGAGACCACCAGCGGTTAAAGCTCTTGAATGATCAAAAATTACCTTTCGGACAGAGGTCACAGGTCTTCTTACAGTTGACTTTGACAAAGTCTACATATTCTATGTGTTTACAGTAAGGCTTGTAGATGTTACAGTAGCTGTTTAGATCCTCACAAGCTGTGAAGAAACAAGGGAAATGAAGATACTTCTTTCCGTCGACCTGAGAAAATCTTGCAAATACTCCTAATGACAGCGCATGGGCATTTTAGATAACAAAGGTTCTGTTTGATGTTCAAAACACCTTCGCATCATTTCGTGCTGTTCATGATACCACTGTTGTCGTGTTTGTTGCCGGCGCGCGCGGAAATGCGTATTGAATTAAAGTAAGTTGCTGTTCAAGAGTGCAACACGTGATTGTCCCAATTGTGCCCATGTGCAGGATCTAATCCAGGGGCCTCTTAGTTGGTATTATGTTGGAGTAAATTAAAGCAAACAAACTTCCTAGGTGTCACATAAAAACCAGAGGTTTCACAGCGACCAGTTGACTCTGACCTTCTGTTAGTAACACTAATGTGCGGTTCCGTGTATGTTTTTATAACACAACCGAATTTTCTATTCAGTCGTACCGGTTAGATCCTTAAGAATTTAATTTAGTCAGCATGTCCTATGAGGGCCGCTTTCTTTAATTTGTTGTTACGTAATTATCTCAGCGTTTGCATCTAGCTTTCATTTGGGAAATAGATTTCGCTGCATATACTGCATGTAACGATTTATCTCTTCAAACCTGTTTTTGATATACATTTATTTTCAAATCGATCGCTAGCGACCCTTACCCGATCTGTCAAAATGTGTTGCTTGTCCACATACTAAATTGATACCTGTATGTACTTTTGGGCTAGGCGAAGCGAAACAGTATAGAGATTGACATTCAATTATACAGACCTGCCCGCTTGGTGCTGGAGTTGTTTTCATCACTGAGGGTTTCTAATCCTGCTGAATGCAGAAGCAATAGTGAATGCCTCATAAAATAACACTGACACTTTTCCTGTCTGAATTTCAGTGGTTGAAACAAGAGATATATGAATCAAACGTTGTTTTTTGACCCTCCCCAAATAAAGCATAGCATTCGCGTCGATTGCTGACAAACCTGTTTAGTTTTTGTCAGCAATCGACCATTGAGAATTTCTTCACATCATTGTAAGGGTAACAAAAGAAAAGATTTATTTGTTTGGATAAATTTGGCCATTGTCTTTTTGTCCCTCTTACCTGGGTTAAAACAAACACAATTTTTTTTCTTCTTCTTGATAAATCTATGCGCAGAATAGGCCTTTGTTTTACGTATTTTAACAACTGAACAAAGGCGACGAGAGGCGCAGAGGGAAAATGGGAGACGCCTTAACTTTTTCGAGTCGATCATAGACTCTAGATGATAGAAATACAAATTCATTTGCCTGCTGAACAAAAATTTGGGGTTGTTCGACCTCGCCAACCTTAGGCTCCATCTCAAGACAAGTGACTAGTTTAGTGTCACAAATAAATCTATATTCCAGAAACGTAAGCTCCACGACTTAGCTTTCAGAAACCGTTGATGAATACAATTAAGCGAATAACAGTAAAGAAAGACCACCGAATTTCAATCTGCTATTATAAATTACAAGTTTTATGCAACATGTTCTTCTCACTGAGAAATTCTTTTTGAGTTGAAGGCCCTTGGCTCGCCTTCAGTGGTATCCACACGAAAAAGATAATAGCAAAATGTTACGAGAAGGCACCACAGTAAGCATATAGCTTGTCAGCTAACTTGGTCACCTACCAGTTATTCCTTCCTGTAAGCTCATCTCTCTCTCTTGGCTAAAGTAAGCGCAGTAAATCAGAAAGATCAGCGATGAGAATGAGATCAACATTTTGAATGCTACTTCCAATCTTTACTGCCCTGGTGAGTTTTCCAGAGGATTGAAACACTTTTTAATACGTGCAACGTTAAATAAAATGTTATCCGTGTTTGAAAGTGAAAGATGTTTCATTATTAAAGCCAAACAGGCAGTCGATTTTGTGTAAAAAGCTGCAAACAAAATCAACAAAAAATTCTCTATTATAAATTTAAATGTTTGTTTTGGCAGTCCGGCTTTCAACTTAACATTTTACATTCGATCGTAACAAGCAGTGTTACGAAAAGAACTCATGTTGGTGGCATTGAGTGACTTCACTAGGAGCTTTCTGTCAACCAAGTAAGAGCACACGAGTTAGGGTCGTGGAAAGCGATTGGGTGGTTAAATGTTTATTTTTCATAGGATTGCTAGAGATTTCATGTAACGAGTTCCTATCCCTTCTTTGATATCCTGCTTGATCGAAAAGAAACTTTTTAGTAAATACAAGGATGATGAAAGTTCCGTTTTTGAATGGTACATTACGACAATAAGATTATTAGTCATTTTGTGCCTAAAGAATTAGATAAAATGCGAGCAATATTGACATATGATACCTTAAAACTCCTACTCTTAACAAATACACGATTCCGTTTACTGTTTGATTTCAAAATCTCACAGATGTTATTTAGTCAAACAAAGTCCTCTGTGCCATTCGCACAATTAAAACAACTTATCCCAATGCTCATTGCAATCGCCTTTATCAACATTAGGACAACTTTCGCTCATGAAAAACTAAAATCGGGGAAAACCTTAATTCCAAACATTACCAAGCTTTTTTCTTGTTGATGTTGTTGTTTTTTTCATTTGTTTTCATTGTAGATGCCTCTTTGCAAACTGCATTTAATTGATTAAATTCATGACGGTGTGGTATGGTGGGAGGAAGGATGAAGGAAGAAGGGAGAGCGCACTTTCTATGCACTTTACATGATAGGGTATACAGTGCATGGGATGCCTCAATCATATGCTGGCAAGAGGTATTTAAACAATGCATGGAATACTATGCTTTCTGTAGGTCCTTAAAAGTTTTTCATTTAAGAAATTCATAAGAATGATAAGTCTTTATTTGTCGTAAGATAAAACTACAGATCCTATAGCCACTATACAATTCTAAAAAATTTATATATATATATATATATAACTGCAGACAGAACTGTTTCGGCCTTCTGGGCCTCATCAGTGCTGTGCTAATCCTACGATGGGAGAGAACCGATACGGTCACCCCAAACGACCCAACCTTTGTGGTATCGTCTAAGCCATGCCAGAGTGCTCAAACTAGATTAAACTGGCGAGCATGCGCAATTGCAACAGCAGTAACTCATCCTAGATAGAGTGCTCAATTTAGACATGAAAGCAAAGCTTTGTATGCCAAAGAGCTATATCCTCAAAACAGCTAAAGACGAGCCAAAACTCGGCTCGCTAATCACGTATTCTAAATCGTGTTTAAATGTTAGTCTATTTACGAAAGAAGACATAAATTGCTTAGCACTGAGTTTCAGATATGCACACACTGTCTAGCATCAAAGCCATGTTCTGGAGGGGAGTCGCTAGTATTCGTTTAGTATTCATGGGGAGAGGGGGGCATTTTGCACCAGTGGCTCCACTGTTTCTGCCAAGTACATGTGATCAACCCTTGACGTGCAGTTTGTGCTGAGAGCAAAAGACCTTGGGTGATCTGTTACTAAGGGACGCGACTAGACTTTGGGATACTCACTAAAGCTTATACCACAGACTATCCAAACCTGCTTATTGAAAGTACTATGTAATTTTTGGGCGTGGCTTATCTCACCTAACTTTCGATTGTAACAAAATGGTGACTGCACTCTTATTGTTATTAATAGTCATTAATAACCATGATACTTGAAGTAAACGTAACAGTTCAGCTTATGGATTGAAAAATATAGCAATTGAAACAACGGCTGCCCAACGATCAAAATCATGAAAACCACTGTTGAAGAGAGAGGGTCGTCTATTCTTTTTACGAATCGAGGAAGCTCGGGAACAAGCTTATCGAGAAGCAGAAAGTAGTAAATAAGAACGACAAGGACATATGTTAAAGAAAACACATACGAATAAAGAAAATGAAGCAATCTGATTGGTGCGAAACTGAAAACTGCCTCAGCAACCATAAAAATAAAGATAGACAGGAGCTTAGCAAATTCTAACTGGTTAAATTGTTCTTCCAGTATGGCATAACAAAGGATGACAACTAATATGCTGTTTCCCACCAGAGTTTGTAAGACCCAGAGTACCGCATGGTAACACGGTAATCTGTCCTCGCGGCGCGGCAGTTCTCTGTGCGACTCGTCTTCCTCGTTAGCGGTCCACAACAACTCACATTCATTCTCGTGTTCATCGTCAGCCATGTAACTTTTCTCTGTTTTCTCAGGGATTTCTTTGTTTTCTTGATCTTTGTATGCCTTGACAGCGTAGTAGATCGGGAGGAGCGTGGCGAGAACGAAATACAAACAACTTAAGGAAATACTCCAATTATCCAACTGTAACAGCCATAAATAACTAGACGTTTCGAACGTGCTTTCCACCGTGACAATTACACTCCACGCGGTAATAACCAGACGATAGATGATGAATAACGATGATGGAAACCACTGGAAAGGATTCAAGAAAATGAATTATCATCGCAGTCATTAAAACGCTCTTTGGAAAACAAAAGGGGTTATCCTCCATCTATACGGCAGGTTTACGTTCCCGACAACAATTGTCGGGTCTCATCGCGGGAGCCGATCGAATCCGAAGAGTTGTCGGATCACAACTCTGAGATGCCTCGTCTCCATTCATTTTACGTCAAAATGTATGGATTTCTGATTGGTTCAAATGTGAATGGGGAGTCGAGGCGGATATAAAGCTAAACGTTTAAATTAAAATTAGCCGTGGGAAAATTGATTTTGATGTAAATAGCTAGCTATTTACAACCCCATTCTGAACTTAGAACTCGAGGGAGTTATCGTTATAGACTGAAGGCGACAAAGAACATTTATTTTTATTACTTTTTCTCAGGAACCATAATACTATGGTATAAGCTACCCGCAGGAATAGTTGAGTCAAACTTCTTGGTTTGTTTTCCAAGCTACTCCCCTATTCAGGCAACAGTTATAGACGCTTTTATTTCATATTCTTATATTATGTATTATACAGTTGTAAGAGTGCTATTCGAATTTTTTCATCAATCTTATCCGAGTATTGTATATATTTTACGTCTTTGTGTAATAATAGTTGGTGTGATGTCTGTACAGATTTTACCAAACTTAATAAATGTCGATGTAGCTGTGGATGAAATTACTGAGGCGTGATTGAAAGCATCCTTTCCTTCCCGCGCGATTGTCTGCATCTTTGCGGCCTTCGAGTTATGAGATCAGCTATTTGGTTGCCTATGATATGTATTCAAATGGCGTGTAAAAAAATGAAGAATGGAAGAAACGTACTTTCCGTTCCTGAAGAATTTCTGGCTCCCTTTGTCATGAACCGTAGCGACAATAATTAAAGAAAACTCACAAAATATTAAACATGTCTTGGATTATACCGTCTTAAATCCACAGATATGTTGAAGGGTTCTTGTTTTCATCGAAATTCGGTTAAAATACATCGGCATATTAATTTAAGATAATAGCGGTCCTAGAAAATACTTTTAACCCAAAGATTTCGAACTATGCAGCTATTTTAAGGTTATCAGGAGGGATTTTATGTAAATTTACAGTTTTAGAACATTCTATACTAACGCAGTAAACTAAAGGGTGAGATTCACCTAACTGGTGATTGAAACCAGAATTCCTCAACCGTCAAACTACTTCGATGAAGGGGTTGAGCGAACTCTTGAGAAAGAAATACACACCTTAACTAAAAGGTTTGCGGTCAACAATACTCTTAAAGCTGCAACCCGAGGGACCTACTGACGGTCTGGGATCTCCCTCTTTCCTCCAAACACCGTGGATAGTGCAATAAATGCAAAAAAGATCTGACAGTTCGTTTTTAAAACAAAATGTATAAGGGTAGGGAAATAAAGGAAATGCCAAAATATTGTCAATTAGTATGGTTTCAACACCGAACAATCCTGAAACCTCCTCGATGCAAATTGATTTCGTTTTGAAGTTGCAGTTCTTTGTCTATTTTCAAATTACTGTACATGCTCACCGGTGATTCGGAAAACAGCTCTGGACTTGAAAACCTCAGAAATAGGCTTTTGACTCGAAATTCCTCAGCCAATACAACTTTTAACCACTTTCTGAAGACAGACATTGTTGGACGTTTCTAGTTCAGTAAATCATTAAAGCAATGATATGTTCACGTTATGCAGATTAAGATGAAGATTGGCAAAGAGGTCGAACTTGATAAAAGAACTCTACGCCTGACTGAAGTCAGAGGAACTCGGCAGAAAAAAAGAATATCTAATTAGCGGTCTTTTAACCAATCTGGCAACTGAAAGCCATATCTGTACGCTGAAATCGAGAAATTTCGTCCAGATTTACTCATTAAAGGAGTCTCGTAAGTTTGTAGACGTTTGCTGACGAAGGGCCGTATTTTTGTTACTGATTTTGCCGCGTCAAATTCTCAGCCGTGAAGTTTAAATATCTTTAAAATACTCAAGCTTGAGTGAGCATTCAGTTTACATTGTTGGCGCTTGAAAGATCATTAAGAAAAGGATTCCCGCTCAAAGGTAAATTATGCTGATTGGCTTCAGACTAAATAAACCCAAAGTATGTACTCTCTGACGTTAGAAGCCGTTGCTTTGAAGTAGTTCAGTATGGGATGTTGTAAGGCCCTTGGGAAAGAATGCAGCATACAAAAACTTGGATTGCGATACCATGACTCCAGAGCTTTCACTGATGCTCCGGTAAGTTAGTTTCTCGGTTACAAGCTTTCAGAAATTAGTAAAGAGCGGCAAAGTTACGTGCACCTAAAGTATTGGTAAAACGAGCGGAAGTCATAAACTGTGATGCGATTTGAAAACGTAAAACAATTCGACTTCTTTTCCCCGCAACTAAGCGTGCCAGAATTCTTACGACACTAATCACGATGAATCTGGGCTCTCCGTTTTAGAGAATTTATGTGTTTGTGTTATAGATTATCTGCTTTACATGGAGGCTAAATTTCTTTAGTTATCTCCAACTTTAGTCACTTCAAGAACAAAGTTTTCAAAACTTTGATTTCCATTTAAGCCCCGAGTGGTATGGACTCAGAAATAGGTAGAAAAAATAGATTTTCAAACTCCATGTTCATACGTGGCTCATGTTGTCCTCGACCTTTTCGAGACTACTATTCTGAGGATTTGCATACATAATAATTAATTAGATGTTTATTTCGGCGTGCGTCGAAAACGCGGAAATTTTCATGGGAATTGGTCTAAATGCGATTGCCTCATAAGAATAAAGTTTCTTGCTTGAAGAAGGTGCTTTTTAGGAGAAATGGGAAAGAATTTCGTGACCGATCACTGGTCAGTTTACTTCGGAAAACGCGGTAATTTTATTCAGTTGCAAGAAGATTTAATGGTTGGTTTGTCCAGAATAATAGCTCCCTCAAGCTTCGATTCTCTGCATTAAAAGAATTTGAAATGTCTTTCTTACCCTCTGCAATTAAAACTGTTAGGAATCTAAACAAAAGGATATGTTTGTCTTCAGTGTTATGTCGCAAATCGAAGCTTCTTGAAAGCTAAGCTTTAAAATTCTTGTCTAATGTTTTTAAACTGTTTAAGTAAACATAGTGTCTGAGTGAATAAAATGCCCCCATGCCTTTATATGTTTCCTTCCTGACGGCATTTAGAAAGAGTTTCTAAAAATAAAAATAGCTACCTTTTAAGTTTGTTGTTCTCTTCAAAATTCCGTGTTATGGAGCAGTTTAGATCAATTTTAAAAGAACTGAACCTTGCCTTAAGGGTGCATGAAAACGGTCTGTGTATGAATCCAGATGAGTCATGAAGTATTTTTGACCAAAGAGAAAAAACAACTCAGTCACTTTTGTCCAAATTCCTTAGTATGGTTCAGTTGGTAATAGAACGCGCACTTGCCATCGAATTCCTGGCGTGGTAATCTACACGCGAGGCTTGGAAAACACGCTGAGAAACTTTTGAAAATCACGAGCCGAACACAACTAAAGTACAAGCTTTTCGAGAAAATGTTTTGTGATATTCTTTCAGACTTCCGTGGGTTTACCACTACCGGGCAGAAAACGATGAACTAGTTAGAGCGTGTAATGAGTCATTTTAAAAATGATCGTAAACAGAAGAAACGTTTGAATTTTTTAAGGGAGAACCTCTACCATTTTTTTCAAACTCTTGTTCATTTTTTATGTTTAAAAGCTTTGTAAGTAATGCACCAACATTGGTGGTGATAGGTATTAATTTGGACGGGTAGAACATGCACTGGTTCGTGAAAAGATCTAGGAAATAAGTTTAGACGCGAGACTTGACAGGGATTCATTGTTCTCTCGATAAATGACTTTTTCCGTGACTTATATTACGAAATAAACTGATCACTAATATTGCAACGGCCTCAGTTTAAGTGTTCATTTCGTGTACTTACTGACTTTCTGGGAGGGTCGAACGGGAAAAATATTTGGCCCGAGGTCATAACTGAGAGCCAAATATTTTCCCGTTCGGACCGACCACACTCAGTCAAAGAGTATTCTTTATGATAGTCGTCACCATGAAAAAGCCTTGAAAATTGTGAAATTATAAAAGAAGGCCGCGCGCTGTCCAACTGCAGAAAGATTCTAAAGTCTAAACTTTTCCATTTATTTTTCGCCGCGACAGAACAAGAACCTCAAAATTCATCGAACGCGAATCATATAATCAATTCTCTTTCACTCTTTGTTGCAACAGCAGAGAACATTTCTTCCGCAACATTTATACGCAACGGAGCCATGTGAGCGTGGCGTAAGACAGCTTTTTATGGACCGGTTTACGTCATACCTCCAGCTCCACTTTGGTTTTCTAGAGGAGTGCGTGAGCGTGGTGATATCGATCTTTTGACAAAAATCTCTTTCACTATCGTATCAACACCTCTTGAACGATTTCATATCATTGCATCCCGTGCTCAATTTTCAGAAGAAAAATCTTTTTTTAGCAATTTTCCTTTACTCCATGGTCAACGCTCAAATTCCATGAAGAAAACGAAACCCGATTTGAACACCAAGATCCAGAAATGCCTTTTCAATTTTTTTTTTTTCTGTTCTTGCACACAGGGCTTACCAAGACCACTGTTTGCCTTTCTCCGCCTAATCTACGCTGCCCTAGCGATAGCCGACCTAGTCTGGATCGGTCTGGAACATCCGAGCGGAATCTGGGTCATTCATTTGCAGAACTGGAGTCGTGTGGTGACCGCGTTATACTTCCTGACTGGTTCACTGACCGCGTTCCATCGCTCGGCGTGCGGATCCAAAGAAAACGACAGCTACGACATAATCCATCCGGATTTTCCAGATCACACTGGAGATTCCAATTCTTGCGCTTTAAAACCGGGCGAAAAAGACGACAGCAACGATCCGGATACATATGAAAATCACCTCTCATGGCATCACAAGGTGCTCTGGGTCCTTCACACCCTCGCTTCCAACAGTACTTTCGTCTGCATGATCGCATACTTCGCATTTTTCGTTGACGAGCATGTTACGTATATCTGGATCTTCTACATACCAAGGCACTCTCTCTATGTTTTTCTGATGATTGTCGACACACTGGCCAGTTACATTCCCGTTAGGCTGTTGCACGTTGTGTATGCCTACATATTCGGTGCTGCATACGTTGTGTTCACTGTTGTGTTCATCTTAACGGAAGTGAGGGTCGATCTGCGTCTGAATCCCATCATGTATCCTTCGCTGGAGTCTGGTGACGAGCCACTTATCTACACAGCATACCTGTCAATATTTCTAATTGCTGGCTTTCCTGTGGCTCAAATAATCTACTTTCTCATTCATAAATTCCGCACTTGGTATATTTCAAGATGAATAATTAATTGTACAAGTAAGAACGCTGAAAATTCATGAGAAAGATTTCCTTGTTTAAGCTCTTTTAAGTTAAGCAAATATTTCAACTCAGGAAAGCAAGTTGGCCTATTTCTTTAGAAAATCAAAAGCAATTTGGAATATATCAAACTTCAGCATTTTGAAAGATAAACTAGTTAATTATATCTCTTATCACACTTGACTGTGGACTGTGATGCTTTTTATAACAGATGGTACACTCTCAGTTACCAAGACAATGTGCTTGATAGACAGTTACCAAGACAATGTGCTTGATAGACAGTTACCAAGACAATGTGCTTGATAGACAGACCTGGTAACAGATATAAAAAAAAACTTAACATTAAAAAGATTGTCATTCGACCCTTTACACCGAAATATTAGCAGTCATTTAGGTTGCATCTAAGTTCACACAGCAACCAGGTGGACTATCAAGACATGGTTTGATGCTACTCTGGTTTAAAGATTTAATGAATGTTGCCTTTTAATTGTAATTCTGGTTACATTCATTAAATCTTTAAACCAGAGTAGCATCAAACCATGACTGATTTGCAGTCAAATTCTTCACACTGTTCTCTCTACATTTCCTATGATCACGACAAGGAGAATTTGTTTGACAATCAAGAGTTTCTTAAATTGGTAATCATTTCTCTTATTCTTATGACCTTTACAGCTGATGCAAGGGTGATATTGTAAGGAGAAATTATAAACTGCTCAATAAGGTTCGTCGAAGTGTGGTTGAGGTCCCGGGTAGGAATTCTAACCATTACTTGCCAACATTTCCCCATCAGTTGTCTCCCATAACAAAAGGTGTACACAGCTAAGATGAGTTCTACCTTTTTATTTGCTTTTTTAACAATTTTTCTCAAATACTTTACTTACACAGATGAACAAAGGTTTATCTTTACTGAAGTAAAATGCTACAATATGCCCAATTAGGTATTAGTAATAGAAACAAATTAGACTTGAAGCTTTTCTCTGATGAAATCCAAAGTGACCAAAATGGATTATCAAGACAAAGAGAAATTATCTTGAAGTGTCCATAAAAAAACTATTGGAATCATGGATCCCTTTTGACTTTTGACTGAAAATTTAGTGTTTGTACTTGTCATTTGTTGCTCTGTAAATCCCAATGATGAAAAATCAGAACACAAGAAGCTTATGTCTTGAAACCAAACCTGCTGCCTAATGCAAGGCCAGGCAACCAAGGTCCTTAATTTGCCAAAAACTATTTTCCAATGCAGGCCCTTTGCCACTGCTGTAAATAACTTCTTTCCCTTCTTTTCTCTGTTTGCTGTAAGTAATGCCAGGCTACCATTCCCACTGTTTTTGTATCACTAGATTGTATTATGAAAACATGACTACACTAGAAACTTCTCAACAATTGTGTCTTGTCTAATGGAGTCTAAATTGTATCAATGCAATTGAACTACTGCTAAGAAATTGCTGTCCAATTGTGTTACATACTAGAATAATTCAAATTAATATAGACACCATCAGGTCTTACCACTGAATTTGGTGTAAATTAAATTACATTTCTATAAGCAAGCTGCAATTATTGTTAATAGCAAAACCTAAAACATTTTAAACCACAATGAAGGAAATGCAGTATGCCTCTAGCTGGAAATTATGCCATTCACAACTGCATTTAATCAATGAACTGAACACTCTCTAACTGGCATTGTGAAACTGGAGTAAAAAAGGTTCTTCTCAAAGTTTTTTTAAGGGAGTTTACAGCTTAAGATTGGCAATCCACAGACTACAGCCACAACAAAGATATACGAAACATAATAGGCTGACAGACTTGCTTGCTTGATTGCTTTACTTTACATAACTTGCTAGAGTTTTCAGCAAACTGATTTCAAAAAGTTGTTGGGAGGGAAATTATTAAACAAAAGTGTACCATATTTTATGTATAAAAAACTCTAGAGATTTCCTTTTGGAAGATTTACTTGGTGAGTTCATTTGAGAGCCAGTCAAGTCCTTCATACAGCCCTGTTCCCTGAGTTGCACAAGTACCTTGAACATACCACTAAAAATACAAATTAAAAAACATTGTTGATACACTGTGTAAACTGACCAATAACAACCCACTTATACCACTTAAGTATTACAGCCAATAAGAAATTGGCCAATCAGTTTACACGAGCCAAACTGAGTAGGTTTGACTGGCCACAACTATTCACTTGACTCTGATGACGACTGCTGCATAGGTTGTCAAAATGTCACTCACTACAACTGACAACAGTCATTCTTGAGACTACACTCACACCAAACATCCAGGTGATCAAACTACACTATCACTGTATGTACAGAAACAACAACTTTACCAAACACGATACTATGCACAACTGTGACCGACACTTTGCCAAAAGCAGAAATATGACTGCTTAATAAATGTAGAGGTGGAAATGTCCTAAGATTTGGGAGATGCTCTGGACCAAGATTCCTCATTCTCATTATTCTTTACAACATGACAGAGGTGAAAGAAGTATGGGTGTTCTAGTGCAAAGCCCCAAGTCATGCATGATCGCAGAGCGAAATGATAGAATCATGTAAAATGGGAGATTTTCTGCTGTTTGAGTTGTACACTTTTCCTACCAACCTTACCATAACATTCTCAAAATATCCTTATAATTCAACAGTTTATCCCTTGATTATTTTCTGAGAATTGACTATGAGCTACACTGCATTAGCAAGAGGTGACTTGCAAATATGCAACAATGCATTGTGTCACCAGCTTCTCTGTCCATGCAAACATTTTTCAACTTTGTGCAGCCACAAATTACCTTTGTAGCAAAATTCAAACTAACCTTTCTTGATTTGACACTGTGAAGTCCTAGCTTATCTGTTATTTCCGAGATTGAGTAAGCATTTGGCAAGTCTTGCTTGTTAGCAAACACCAGTAGTATGGCATCAGACAATTCCTCTTCCTGGAGCTGTGTAGATATGAACAACAATTTATATTAATGAGAGCCAAATCATTATCAAATAAATAATTACCAGCCCATATCTACAAGATGATGCAAAGGGTTGACATTAACAGATTCTGCACATCTGATGAACTCAAAGTATTGTCCAGTCCTGAAAATGTAACTAATTGGAATTCCAAATAAACTGTAAGTCACAAACCATGTCAAGTAAATTTGAATTAGTGATGGCTTACCATTTTTTGTAGTTCATCATTAGCTTCTGCTATTCTTTCCCTGTCATTACTGTCCACCACAAAAATCAGTCCCTAGAGTATGAAAAATGATACTGGCTGTTTGCCTTGGATAATAAGTGTCTTATCTAAATTGATTTCTGCTTGGTAAATCAGTGAAAAGGAAAATGATAGTCAAACAAGTTGGTTGAAGTGAGTTGTTCAGAGGAAAAACTAAAAAGGCAGCTTTGCAAAGTTTCATTATCCCTTTCATCAACTTATAGGTGACGATCAACAAATTGTTTCATTTTGACAGGATTATGCTGGATAATCCAGTCAATATATTTTCACAATTACACAAATCTTCCCATCAGCTAGAGACCAATTTTCTACCAGGCATTACCATCTACCCATTGAAACACTGGGCCAGATGAACAGGAATCATTCTTTGTACAAAGCCAGAATATTCACCTGTGTGTTTGTGAAGTAGTGTCTCCACAAAGGCCGAATCTTGTCCTGGCCACCAACATCCCATACAGTGAATGAGATATTCTTGTATTCCACTGTCTCAACATTAAAACCTTTGAAACAAAGACAGATGCAAGTTTGTG